TCTTTTCACTAACTGCACTTACGGAATAATGTTATTCATATTAATATGAATATATTATAAATATACATCTAAGTATATATCTTTTTTTCTGACTTATCTTCTCTTCGGTGACTAGCCTTCATCGTGTCCGGGTATTGTCATTAGGCAACACATTGTAGGCATGGGTCCATAATCATGAAAATGGATATGGAGCCATGACAGTGATGAAGCTTCAGTAAGTAGATAACTGGAGGTTTGGACACAAAAATAGTGTAATCTAAAAAAGCCATCTTAAGGTCTTAATCTTAAAATCTTTATTTAAATAGAAAACTTTGATATATCAATATATTAAAATCTATAAAACTCTCTCAATTAACCAGTCATTAGTAAATAGTTTGTTCTTCAAAAATTAAATTGCTAAAAGAATGGAAATAATATATAATAATTAATTAATGGTTTGGCTTACAAAATAGCTTATTACATTGTATTATAATACATTAATAATACAATAACGTAATCATTAAAAATTCTGATATAATATATTCTGGTATTATCTTCTATATTAGAACAAAATTTTCAGTAAGTGAATTATTTACCATTCAAATGGCATTGAATTGTGTTAACAGAGACCTATTTCGATAAATAAATTATGCAGAAGTTGCCGCGATGAAGATAAGATAGATCCCATTAATATTTTTGTCTGGATCAAACTACTGGACTAGAGACAATGCATTTATTTATTATTTCTCCGTTATAAACAGAAGAGATTAGTTATCCGCTAACTGGTGAAGCCGAATGGAAATGTTTGGCTATAAGGCAAATTCCAATATTAGTGGATTAGAAGGCTTTTGAGGTCTTTGATATTGCGATTTAGCCCACTTTTTATAACTTGCCACACTATAGAAATCCTAAGATTACTAAAAATTTAATTTTTTGTTACTCTTTCTTATATTTTCGATTTAAATCGTTGCACAATCCAGATCGGTTTTAAGATCAACTGAATACAGTAGCAAAGTACTGTCGATTGACAGATTTCTGACAATCAGCGTACAGGTACCCCTACAGGTCCTTAGCACGGATCGATTTAATGAATTATCGCTAATTGCATCGCAATTAGTTCGTAAATAATTTAAAGTTTCACTAAAATTATTTCGATACCTTGGCTATAACACCAACTATACAGTTACTTAACTTGTATAAGAATATCTATGTCAATAATGTATCACAACTGCAATTCTATAACGTATGTCATTGTTTATCTGTAAAATTATCCGACTTCAGATACACATGTATAAACCCAATTGATATGTAATGTCACTGAAGTGATAGTTCATGCATATTGGTACCATCATTTCAATTCTATCTCCATATCTAGTCTACTGTGCAAGAAAATAGTTTTCAAAATTTTAATATATAGTAATGTGCAGACTTATCTTTGTTTTCTAAAAGATTTTGTTCCAATAAAAAAATATCGAATAAAAGAATTTTTTTAAATAGTTTGTTAGATAGATTTTGGGATATATACTTTTTAACTTAAGGAAGCATATAATTGAAAGATATATCTCACGAACGTACTATTATTAAAACTTTGTACAAATACGTACGTACAGTAAATTCTAGAGATAACGCATTGTAGGACGAATAATGCTAGTTTATAAAACAATAGCAATAACAATTCTTTGGATTATCTGGTTTACTTTATAACCTCTGAATTAATTGTGGTTGTTATTACAAGTGGTACCCAACTTGAAGTTTCACATTTAAATGTAGCTTCTGGAAGAAAAAAATAAATGAATGCAATAATAACACAACAGTTGTTAGGACTATCTGCTTATTTTTAGTAACTATGATTTACGGTATTTATTGTCATTTTACAGCGGTTTAAAATTACATTTTGTCTAATAGGTTACCTATATCTATTAGACCTATTATATCTAATAGGTAACATTAGATCTATAATGTCTAATAGGCAACCTATTAATAGTAGGATTATCAGCGTTACTTAAATAACTCAGTGAATTTCAATTGATTTGTAACCATATAGATCACCACCAGGCCCGTAGCCAGAAACTGACTGTGGGAAGAATATTTTTAAATAATTTCAGTAATTAAAAAATTGTTGTCTTATTAAACAATGATATTAGTACATTAATAAAGAATATGCATATATATATATATGTATGTATATTCAATTCAATTCATGTGGACTTTAGTAGCCTCCCTGGCTACGTGCATGCTTGACATTTGTTATCATGTTTTTTTATTTAGATTTATATATATATTTCAAACATTTTTATTATAAATCCATTTTTAATGAAATAAATATGAAAAAATATTTAATAAACAACACTTTAAAATCTAGAAATAAATCCAAAAAGTAAAAGTGAAATCAAAAATGTTTAATATAGAATCTTTACTTTTTTCCAATAATAAAACAGCAACTAACATATATTGAGAACATAAATCTAAAAAGTACATTGTTTTCAAAAAAGTGAAAATAAAACGTTGACCCTAAAGGATCTAAGCTTTAAACCCATATATACATTTATTTGTTTTTTTTTCATATTTCTAATATAGAATCTTTACTTTTTTCCAATAATAAAACAGCAACTAACATATGTTAAGAACATATAGTAAGTGTATTATTGGAAATATAGTAATTTTTATAGTTCAGAAATGTATAAGCTTTATATATTTAATCAATACAATACATTGAAATACTTTATGTAAAAAAATACTAATATAAAATTCAGTATTTCGTAAATTATAAGTATTATAGAATTTAAAAGTTCATTTCAAAAAATATAATGATTTTTGTGTGATAGAAAGACTATCGTAGAGTTTCAATAAAAAGTTTGATATATAACATATATAATAAAAACTGAATTGAAATAAGAAAAAAAACTAATTACAAAAATATTTCCATATAAATTTGTATAAAATTGTTATTAAAATATATATTGTTGATTTTATATATATATTATAATATATGAAATTTAAATAAATAAAATAAAATAAAGAATATTCTTATATTGTTCGAGTTATATGATATATTCAAAGAGTTAAAAAAAAATTATATATTATTTTTAATATTAATATAAAAGAAAAAAATTCGAAATTGTATTTTATTTAATTATTTATAAGAAATTTACGAAATATTTAAAAATTATTTATTGCACGAATTTATATCGAAAAAGGTTAAATGTTTTTATTGTGAAAAGAGGTTAAATAGCAACAACATTTATTTTTATAAAATGTAATAATATTGTCAGAAAGCAAATATATGGATATTTATTTATATATAAATAAATGTTGATTTCATTATATATAAACAATATTTATATATATAAAGATTTATATAATAATTTATTTGAAATTATATATTCCGCTTTGAAGTGTTTAATAAATTATGTTTAAAAACAAAATTTTAAGATGATAAATAATTAATTGTTATTAATTTCTATGGTTCTGAAAGCTTACACTCAGGATGTGGATGTAGAACGTAGGGTAATGAATTCTTGATTTTAGATTATAGTAAATGTAGTTATTTTTCCACCACTGGCTTTCCACACTCTTTTTCCTATTTAAAAGATGTTATTAATACTATCATATTATATCATATTATACTATAATATTATAGTATACCTCATTCTTCGTATCTTCCATTTGTTCTTCTTTTTTACCTCTCTTCTTCATTATAGCATTATTGCGATCTTGTGCTGTTAATAAAACAAAACACAATATCAAAATACAATAGTTAATATAATGAAGTTGTAAGCGTATAGCGAAAAATATCTTTCTTACCATTCCGTTTTTGTGCCTTCTTAGGAACTAAATCAGTTGCGTTCCTACGACCCCTATTCTTTTTTAAAAGCAACATTCTTTCCTTCATTTCATTCTGTTTGTTTTCCAAAGCTTGTTCCTGAGCTATTTTGCACCAAATATGGGTACCTGGTTTTCTCTGGCTCTGATCTTTTTTATTTGTGACACCATCATCTTTCTGGAAATATGAGTATAACATAATATGTATATATTTACAATAAATATAAACACACGCCACGGATACACACATACGTATATTTACAAAAAAATATACGACAAAGCCCACAAATTTATCATATACACATATATATATATGTATGACTATATATATATATATATATATATATATATATCTATTACCACTTATATAATTAAAATAAAAAAACTTTATATCAGAACTTGGTTGGTGAGAAAACTGATATTAAATTGGGTTTTACCCGATCTCTCTGAAATATTAGCGGTTAAAAAAAACAATGCATTAAACATTTACATTATTTTTGTAGTAAATAATATTGGATCTAAAAAATGTCCAAAAATCTCTTAGGATTGTCGGTGCTAAGTTTTGAATTTAATAACTTACGCAACTCTCAATTTTATCCATTTTCCTTTGTTTTTCGCCACGCACTTCTGAAAACGAATGACGACTGTCTACGAATGAGAACCTTTTATAGATTCGTTTAAAAAAACCGAAGTTCAATGACAACTTAACGAAGCGTCCGTAAAGCCCAAATAACAACACATCCTCCTTTGTTTTATTCACAATGAAATGTGATCAAAGAATTACGCACTTTACGTTTACAGACATATAGACTGTCTCATCTACCATATAAAATACTTTAGATACATCTGAAATGGTTAAGGACAGCTATAATTTTAGTTATCTTACACGACGTGTCAAATAAATGTAACAAATTTAAATAAAACCATAAGTCCATAAATCGAAACAGTAGTTATAATGCAAAGTAATAACATTATGACATATTGTTAGGAGTCATTCTTAATTAGGCAGACCGACTTTCGATCTCATTAAACATTTTTTATTTTTTTACTAGGAGATACAAACCTATGCGGTTTTAAAAATTTGTATTTTATACCAATATTTAAGTAGCCACATCTCACAAGCTTTATGTGGGATTAAAACTTAAATATGGTTAGTCGGTGCGTACCGTAAGAAAGTAAGCGAACTTAAGTTAAAGTAAAGGCTGAGTTAGACAGTAGGTAACGCAAGAAATTAATATAAAGTGAAATGCAGGTTTGATTGGTTGTATATTTCGCTTTGAATTAATGTCTTACGTTAAATACCGTCTAACTGAGCCTTAAGAGTCAAAGTGAAATGCACAACCAAACACACCTGTGTACTTGATAGTAACGAAATAAACAAAGTTTGCCGCTTTTGTTTGTTTCGTGATATATATGTGTTTGAAGCGTTTTATCATATCATAGTTTTGCCTTAAGACTCGTTAGATAAAATATACCCCTATACTGAATAGTTATAATAACAGGGACCGTACCTTTTATGCTTTAATGTAGAACATCGAATCGACACTTGAGAAAGGAAAGAAGCAAGAACGGATAGGAGATCTTTGGCAAGTGTCGAATAATAACAAAGCAGATGAGAAATATTTTTCTCTACCTCTTCAAACCCACAACTATAAAAGTAATTATTAAGGTAATTAAGTAATAAACTATAAAAGTAATTAAATTATTTCGTAACACGGTGATTTAATGCACTTTAGGTTAAGACACCTCAATAATTTGTGGTTTGGATAAAACGGGCAAACCCTTCAGTGCTATGTTTTGAATAAGCAATTGTCAAGTTAGTAGGGAGAAGTATCGGGCATAAACGGACTAGATGAATGACATTTCCTTATTCATTTTTTGACAAACAGTAGGCATTGAAGAGTACCTATATTTGGTCGTAATGCTTGACAATAAGACCAAACCGTTATTCTGTCTTTTCTGATGGTAAACGTACCATGTGCTACGACAGTTTGACACATTAAAAATATATATTGAATATATTCTGTGGTATATATTATTTAGAGTACAGAGTGTCTAGTCACTTTTGTTGAATAGGAGGCTATAAAACTTTTTATTAAAACAATTATTATATCAATTTTTCAGTGCAACACAAAATTTTTTAATATTTTTTTAATGTTCATTAATATCATAACACATACATTGCATATACTAATATATCTAGAATAATTTATGGGAGTTCCGCCTTTAGAGCAGTATATATATTTTCATTCACGTTCGAATTCTTTGGCTCAGAAACGAGTTCTACTGCTTCATCCTATAAAAAATAAATAATTAATATACATCCATTCCATAATAACAATTTATTATTGTAGAATTGCAATAAGTCAACTTACACTGAAGAGGACGTTGTTTTGCCCTTCCTTAAACTGCCCGAACATAGTGAATACGTCCGCAGTCTTGGAGTTAGTACCAAATTTGCTTGATAAGGAAAGGAACAGATGTTTGATGGTTTGTTGTTCAATGCTTGTCATATCGCTACGAATGAAAATGGCCACAGGTAAATTTACTTCCAAATTGCAGTTTGCAGCTTCAGTTACTGGTTTTTTTTCCATATTTGGACAGAGTAATTGTTTGTTTTTATGGGCCTCCAAATCCTTTGAGTTCACAATCATTAAGCCGTTTTCGTCAGATTTCGCTGAAACACTCAAACGACGTCTTTTGTTTATGAAAGCAGCTGCTAATTTCGCACGAATATTCGATTCATCAAAATTTCTAAATATTATATATAATGTGATATATATGATATATATATGTTTTTGACAATATAATCAAAAAATTACTTACGGTGCCAACTTTTCTAAGTCTGCTTTTGAAATACTTGGATCTACTACTGCAACATATACATTATTATCACCATAGCTTTCATATACAATAGGTTCCAATTTAAGATATCTTGCATCTTTATAGTGTGGGCCGGGTACTGGAACTACATCAGCTTTGTTATCTTTAACTGCCATCATGCAATCGCTTTCTTGTACACACTCAATTTCTGGACGTACATCACGAGAATAAGCAGCACGGCTCATGGCTTCACATTTTGACATTTCAACATCGTTCTTAGCACACAATCTAAAGAAATGAGATAATACATTAAAGGAATATGCTTAGAATATAATATATATGAGATGAAAAGAGACAGAATGATAAATTTTGTATTTATACATAACACGATAACTGAATTCGATCAATAAATGAATACCAGAAATTAATTACCTTAAAAATTTACAGGTGAAATATATATAAATACAGTTAATCATAACAAAATTTCAGGGTTTAAAATAACATATAAACTTGCTACAAATAATTAGATAAATATACATGCCTTAGAAACTCTTACTAAAATTTTTCCCCTTTCCTATCAAAAAGGTGATTTTCCAAAATTTTCCTAAAATGATTTTTCTTCTACACGTTAATTTAAAAACCCTCTCTCACATGAAAAAAAAAGAATTTGGAAAAGGCTTTCTAAGGCAAACATATCTATCTATTCAAAACAAATATTTGTTATTAACCCTTTAAAACCGAATTTTTTGAACTTGAACTCTTTATTGCCAGAGACCCAGAAAACAAAAAAATTTCTAGAGGAAAACGTTGTAGTCCTTACCTAATTTTTCTAATAGCACTACCATCACGTTCAATGACATCTTTGTAACCAGCGCGCTCCAAGTATTCTTGAGGCAATACAGGTTGTGGTTTACTATGGTAGACAGCATTATCATTTATGAGTAAATGTGAGGCGGCTTCCTTATTTTCTGCATGTAAACCATTTTCAAAGAATTTTTCCAAACGATTTTGTAAGTTATGTAAATTATCATTTCCATTCACTGTATCTGCATTTGAAATATAACCCATCCAAGGACGTTGAGCCCAGGAACAAGCTGGACCAGTTACAGGACGTCTGGTACCATCTTCGCATAAGTATTCAAAATTATCCGAATCTCCTTCAGCTTTAGTATTCGGTGATAACTTTAATATAAAGATTTTATTAAAAAAAAATAAAATAGAAATAGACAATCATATAAACAGCATTTATATAGTTATTTAATTATTATTAAGTTCAGGAAGTAAATTAATATACTTACTCCAAAATATTTTTTAATGTATTGCACCTTGGTGAAGGCCACATCACCTTTACCTTTATCGAGACAACGTATTGCGCCATCATAACCGGAATATATATCTGGATAATTGCATTGTTCGGGTTTTTCACAAAGAGCGCAGAGGTTTGAGTATTTTTTCTCTGGAGAGTTAATAATGAATAATTATAATTAAATTTTAAATATATTATTAATATTTAGAATTCATGATATAAGCAATGTATTTTCAAAGAGAGAGAGAGTTTAAATAGGTCATCAAAATATTTCTTGCCCAAAAGCTGTTGTGTATCGCAATGAATAGCTAATTTTTTATGGATGAAACACTGTGGTTCTTAAATTTTTAAATCAGTTTCGTCAAGTGGTTCGATATCACAAACATTATTTTGGTTCAAAAACGGTTTATCCACAGTTTGTCCAGAGAACTTCTTACTATTTTATATGATAAAACAGATTCTATATAAACTTTTTCGTTTTTGTGGAATCTCAGTATCCTACATATATTATATTCTCGTGATCTTCATGTGTCATTTCATGTTCAAAAACATGAATATGCATTTTGAAATATTTCTCAAAATATAGACGAAATATGTTAGGTAGAACATTAAGGTCCATTGCGATACCAGATCAGAGCCTTAATTTTTTAACAATAGTGTGCATCGCTTACGATGAGCGTGTTATTAGCAAATTTTATTAGATTTTCAACAGAAACTTCAGGTATGTGATCCAGTCCGTTGAAACTGATAGCCCCTAAGTATTTCTGTCGAGTTCTCGAGAGAACCGGGCAGTTACAAAGCAGATATTCCAGAATTTTCGGCTCGGTGCATTTCCTACAAGCATTGCTGCGAATTAGGTTTAGTTCCATTATCGGATCTCTTTACATACTTTTTATTTTTATTACCACAAAATTAAATCACAATCTCCGTCGTGGAGAGTGGAGGTAGGACTAACTACAAATATTATTTTAGTCTAGTCACTTATAATTATACTTTATAATTATACTCTCCGTTAACTATTCTTCTAATTATCTATTAGCACTTTTGTATATATATACACTGTGACTTTATTTATGGACTTATGTATATTTGATATGTTAAGAAAGATTGTTAATAACTCTATATATTTAATAACGCATGTACTTACTTAATATACGATCAGTTTCTGGATATGGAGAGTATGTGCCCACAAGACAGGATTGAGAAAAGAATTCAGATAATGCTTTCAATTCACGTTCGGTAGCGGTCAACAAGGGATCCATGGAAACCTTAAGAATTTCCGCGTTTTTCAATTTTGTTATGGGAATCTATAAGAAAAAAAATTAAAAATAAAAAAAATTATATAAATTTAATTAACAATAAAATTATAGATATAAATAATTTTAATTGCAATTTTAATATTAGTTTTATTTATTTTTAATTTTAAAAAATTTTTTAACCTTGCAGTTCTTATTATTATTTATACTTGTCTTTATCTTTTATTCAAATAATATATAAATGTATTATATTATTTTATTTTTAAA